ATGAACTTCAAGAGCATAAGAAAGTTAAAGAACTAAAATTCAAAGAAGATTAAGAAAAAAAATTGAAAGGTTGTGTAGTGTCCAACTAGGGCCTGCATAAAACCACATTACCAATTTAAGACAAAACTGAAAGGCATTTATGCATTCAAACTAGTACAAATTGCAAGAATGAAAATTCAAGTAAGACTAAGACTCTCTAACTCATGATGGCATTAAAAAAAAAAAAAACAATGGTATTTTAGAATTATTAGGATTTCCAAATGAAATTAAATCATACTTAAGAACGCGACTTCACCTTCACCTCTTTTCGTAGCCATTGACGTGGTTTTATAGGTTTAGTTTCAGTCTTTCAAGCTTTTTTTTATTTCCCCTATAAAATCTAATTTTAGTTAAACCTAAATTATACTAGATGTCCATTGAATAAGATGTAATTTGGATTGAAATGACGAATTTGACCCTTCATGTGATAGTCATGTGAGCTTATTTAATGGAAGACTAATGGAAATTTGAATTTGGACATTAGTTGCTAACAAAGCCCACCATGAGGGTTTAATTAAAAGTTGCTTCACCACGAAGGTCACATGGAAAGTGACGTGTCACTACAAGGATCACAAAAAAAAATTTAGCCTTTTTAAAATGGGTTAAGGGTTCCAATTTCCTCACATTGCACCTTGAGTTTTGAATTGTATTAATTTACACATTTTCTCTTTGAACGTCTAACAATCCATTAAATTGATGAAGTTACCCCATATAAAAGTCTAAAACTTTCTAGTTTATCAACTTAAAAATTCTCATACAATCAATCAGATCCGTCTCACCATCACCATCTCCTGCTCCAAACCCTTATCTTCCTTATCTGAAAACCCAACCCCATCCTCCACACTCCAAAACCCAACCCCATCCAAAAGATGTCGTCACATGAAGTTCGTCACAGAGTTCAATCCTCCAACCCCTTGCTCGGAATCAATTGGAGCTCGCAGGCCCACTAATCTTTCGACAACGCTGGTCCCACAACAACTCAAATGGACCCTCCACTTCGAAGGTGTCAACAACCATCATAGAGCTGAGCTTCTGCACAAGAAAGCCCAAATGGGTCCTGGGTTTCCTAAACTTCTTCCAGGAAGAGACGTCGTCACAAAACTAGATGCCAATGTGGATCTTCCCGAATCTAACCCAGAACTCGTACCACTAGGTGCTCCCGAATCAGACCCCTACCCACATCCAGCCTGGAGTCCCTAACGTCCTGCAAATCCCCCTTGTGCTTGGCTGATATTTGCTTCAGAACATCCTTCAAAATTCATAAAAAATGGAAAAAAAAAATTCACAAAAAATGGAATAAAAAAAAAGAAATTAAAAATCACAGAGGTAGAGAGAGATGAGGTCGAGAAGGAGAGCGAGAATACCTGCAAGATTTGGGTGTCATCGTGTAGAAAATAAGAATTGAAAGTGAGAATTAATTGAAGTGGGACCTGGAGGTTGAGGAAGGGGACGGTGGCCGTCGTAGTGGGAATTGGAGAATTAATTGAATTTAGGGTTGCGTGTGTGGAGATGAGAGAAAGGAGGCAAGGTTAGGACTTGGGAAGACATAGGAGACGATCCAGAAAAAATAAATAAATTTAAAAAAAAAAAAATTAATGAACAGGTGGCCCGTTATTGACACACGACATCCAATCATTGTTCATGTGGGTGTCACGTCACCAGTTAACGGCTAATTTAACAACAATCTTAATAGATGTATATATGAAAATGTCTCATAATTATGACTTTAGGTATTAGACTGGGATGAAAAAAAACTTCATGTATCAAATATTGAAAACTAAGAAATTTCAGGATAGTAAACTGAGATTAACCCTATCCTTTAACTATATTGTTTTGTCACTAAACTACCACATGGTATGCATAAGGTTTCATTATTATTTTAATTTAGATCTGTGGATACAAATTTTGTACACAGCTGATTTGACAAAATTTCAACTACAAGAAAACAAATTACAATAGCCTAATTGACGGACACCTTTAAAGGGGAAAGGTGTCCTCCAAAGGGTCTCCGATGCCTAAGTCAGAAAAGCAGTAGAGAGAAGAAAACTTGAGAGAGTTTTGAGTAGTAAGTGGTGTTACCATTGCCTTTTATGGAAGACTGGCAATCGTATCACTACATATGTGAACAAAAAACTAACAATTGTAGTGTTTCATTAACAATAACTACAATGTTTACGGTCACATAGTTGGAAAACAAAAAAAAAAAACACATTCAAATCATATACCTACAAAATGTACAAGTAAGCAGAAACATACACAATAGAGGAAACTGCATGACAATATCTTTCCTGCATAATTCGAAACCTAGGTTAACCACCAAGATCCCACAACTTTATTGTTGACATTCCCTTTTCTTACTTTCTTCATCCAACTTGTACATAAAAGAGATTGTCTTAAGTAAGATAATTGTGCCAGCGCAAATGCCTTAAGTAAGATAATTGTGCATGTCGTCAACATGTAGTGTGCATGAATTAAAATGCAAAACTCTAGATTGAAACCCAAATTGAAACCCAAAAATCTAAAATAAAAAAAAAACCCATAAACAAATAAAGATTTCCAGAACACATTTCGAGCCGTCCCTTCCCCATCCCTCTTTTGTTTGACTTCCAATCTCTGCAAATCCAAAAGACTTAAGTGAACAAACATGTAATTAGTTTTAGAAATGGAGACAATGACTGAGTTAGAGAGAGAAAGAGATGAGAAAGTGTCACATCCCGGCCTGGGGTCTACCACATCCCGGGCCCACTCCACCACCATAGTATGATATTGTCCACTTTGGGCCCCAACCACGCCCTCACGGTTTTGTTTCTAGGAACTCACACGAGAACTTTCCAGTGGGTCACCTATCATGGGATTGCTCTGGCGCGCTACTCGCTTAACTTCGGAGTTCCAATAGAACTCGAAGCCAGCGAGCTCCTAAAAAGTCTTATGCTAAGTAGGGATGGGAATATACATATAAGGATCACTCCCCTATAATCCACCCCACTTAGGGGCCCAACATCCTCATTGGCACACCACAGCCAAGGTTAGGCTCTTATACCAAATTGTCACATCACGGCCCGGGGTCCACCACATCCCAAGCTTGCTCCACCACCGTAGCACAATATTCTCCGTTTTGGGCCCCGACCACACCCTCGCGGTTTTGTTTATGGAAACTCATACGAGAACTTCCCAGTGGATCACCCATCATGGGATTGTTTTCGCACGCTACTCGCTAAACTTCGAAGTTCCGATGGAACCCGAAGCCAGTGAGCTCCCAAAAGGTCTCGTGCTATGTAGGGATAAGAATATACATATAAGGATCACTCCCCTGGGTGATGTGGGATCTTACAGAAAAAGAGACGTACCTGATGGCAATGGAAATATGGCTACCGAAGCTTCATTGGCCGAAAAGAATGGAACTTTTCGGACAAAACGCAAAATTTGATACAAAAATCATATCTTTGAGGATGAAGTATTGATGCAAACGAGAAACCCTCACTTCGAAGCTTCACTCTCGACTTCCCTCTATTCGAAATCGAAGCTCAAAGATCTGAGCTCAGCCTAGAAACCTAGAGCTCACAGAGTTCTCTTGGCATCCTCTCTTCCAAATGACAAAAATAATGAAATGAGCTAAGAGTTTTTAGTATTTATATGTGGGCCTTTTAATAATTTCAATTTTGTGCATGGCTTGTGTATGACCGGTTTGTTTTATTTCGTCCCAAGATTAAGAAATTGTCACAATTTGGGGTGTTTTCCAAAAAAAAAAAATTGCCCTTAGATTAGTTAAAATTCGATATTTGTGTCTTAAATCAATTAAACCAAATTAATCTAACAGTAATCAATGTGGGGTGAGCATCACCACCCCCTTTTAGTGGTGTGAGCAAAGTTGTACTATAATTTTCTTTTTGATATATGGATGACTAAATGGTCTTCAAATTGAATGAAAATTAGATGACATTTAAACGGTGACTAAAAGAATAAACAAATGATATGTATTCGATTAAATGATGTCATATAAAGAAGGGGGGGCTTTAAAAGATTATATCTGCAGACTTTTATGGAATTTAATTTATTGTGATATTCCTAATTGTGGATTTATTAGCAAAAGTTATCTTTTATAATGAAAGAAATTAAACTAAATATATAAAAAAAAAAAAAAAAATTAAAGTAGCTCAAAAGGGCCCAAAATGGTTACCCCACACTTGCCCAATATGAAAGACACCCCAGCATAGTTGGAAAAAAAAAAATTAATAAATATAAGCGTATATGGAGTCGAACCCGTGCATAATTAAATGGGAGTACCAATAATTGACAACTCCGCTAAGACAACATTGGCAATTATGTTCACACTTTGTAGTAACTTATAAAAGTAATAAAATTCAAAGGCTCCTAAAAAACGAGGGGCTTGTGTGGTCTCACACCTCGCACCCCCTCAGAGCCGGCCCTGTCTCCAATCTTTGAATTATGTCATTTGTTTCACTAGTACTCCTTTTCGTTAACTCTATCAACTTTCTGTTAAGTTAAAGGATAAAAGAAGAATTTTATCCAAAAAAAAAAAACTTTTTAAGAGAAAGACTCGGCTCCTCAAAGATTGAGAAGGAACTCCTCTTTAAAATACCTTGTCACCTATTTAAAGAACTTCATGCTTATGATTGGAACTCCTTAAAGATTGACTAAACCATCTTAATTTTAATTAATATTTTGCATAGATGATCTTTACATAGTGATTTATAATATGAACAGTTCCAGTCACAAGCACAAAATTCTGTGGATAAACCATGAAGTATTTTGAGGAGGAACTCCTCATTAACCTTAAGGAGCCTAGCTCTTCTCTTTTGAAATAAATTAGATTGTTTTCTGTCTGAAAAAGATCACTATACCCTTCAATTTGACGAAAAGAAAATAGATTTGACCGAAGAACCATTCATGCAACACATAGTTAAGTTGGAGAATGGGAGAAACTAATATGAGAGTTCATGGATGAAATTAAACATGGGATATAGTTCAAGGACCTTCACTACCAAGCACCCTTCTTTTTATCATACAGGGATACAAAGTTCTTATAGAGTTAAACTGTCCCTCAAAGGCGTAGCACTTAACAAATTTTCTCTCAATATTTTTGTACATGGCTATTATTCAGAAAGATTCGTTTTTTACATGGGCACTCTCTGAAGTTTACTTGAGTATGTTACATGCTCTCATGGTTAAGAGTACTAGTCTTCAAAATTCTTATGGGAATAGCTCTTTCCTTTTGTCATGCATAGAAGGACATAAGCTTCTCGCTTAAATTCTCACGCTCTAATCTGTATGTTCTGTCCACCTGTATATAATACATGTAGAAGAATTAATAAATATGGATTGTTATATAGAAATTAGATCCGAATCGAAGTAAGTAAACTCGTGGCAATACAAAGCATACCTGAAGATGTAAATTATAGAAAACCCTGCCTCCATAGGACTCAAAGAAAGAAGCATTTTCTAGTTGAAGCCCCTCTTCCTCCAGATGTTGTAAGATCTCAAATAATAGATTGTTGTGGGTCTTAAAGGTAGATATTTGAATTGCTACTTCTCTATCGTTAAGACGGTAGGTTGAAACTGCAGATTGTGAACTCCGAGCTGTGCTCTTTATTTTTTTCTCCTTATGCATTGCATCTTCTTGCTTAGAAGCTCTTGATAAGAGTTCTTCCCTCTTTCGGTTCAGTCCCTCCACTTGCTTTTGGAGCTCCGGTATGTATTTCAGTGCATGCGAAATTGTATTCGGAATGCTTAGTTTTTTCTGTAATGGATCAGATGAAGTTTTCAAAACTTTGAGTACATGGGATATCCATAATTTGTGTCGATTATTGAACTTTACTAAAACTGTTAAACTTTCTCTCTACTTGTCTAGACAGTTACACATTGTCACAAATGTTGATAACAATATATCAATTCGGACTATTATATGGTAAAAGTTAGTTTCAATCTATACATACTCCAAATTAGTAGTATGACAAATAAATAACATGTTAAGTCTCTTCAGAGATGTAACATTACCAAACTAATATTTGAAATTATTAAGAGAATTCATTTTGGTACATACCGTTTGATCTGCAGGAAGGAGTGAACGCAATGAGGCATACAAGTTATTGATTTTCTTGCGACGATCACGCTCACTAGCATTATGGTTAAGTTTCTTTGCCATGGGACAAACGCTGGAGTAGTCGCCGGTGACAGTTATGGATGGTGTGGAACGATCAAGGTCAACTTTTGGGTGATGAGATGGAAGTAAATGAAGGAATGAGTCTGCAGTTTGATCATCATTAGTCGTAGTAATGTCCTTGCTGTAGAAGTAGTTGTGGTTCTCATGGCTAATAGAATCTTGATCTAAGGACCATCCAATGGTTGAAAACAAAGGAGGAGACAAGGCTAACATCTTGAACTGGTTAGTTTGGTGCTGCGCTGATGCCAATTAAATTTGCGTAGAAAGTGAGATGGGCATGTCAAGTATATATACAAATAGCCATCATATTTTAGGATTGATCACAACATTTGTTATTAAAATGTAGGACGGTTAGTGTTCTTAATTGGTTAATTAAATAGTAATACTGATTTGTCTTTAAAGAAAGAAATATGCATATTACAATGAGATGACTGAGAAAATGACTTGTCAACTTCAACTGCGTGTGTGGGCATGTGTCTTCTGTTTGAAAAGAGATCTATGTGGCTTAATTAAACATGCATGATTAATTAGGTAAAGGATCTACTATGCCAAAATATTTGCACCACTATGTATTCAAACCCCGTCGATTCCCTACCTAATCTAACAAATTTATCGTTTAAGGAAAAAAAAAATACCAAACTATGGTGAGAATGTTAATTAGGGTTTTGGAAAAGTAACTAACATTTAAATGTTTATTATGGTTTGGAAAAGCGATTAGAAACATTTGGAACCCTATCCCTAAAACAAAATGTTGAAAGAAAAATACTTGAATCCACCTCATGAGTTGTATCACCTTTTTCACTCCTTACAGCTACGTATTTTCATATTAAAAATTTCTTAAGTAAAACCATTTGTCTTTTTAACTTCATTTAAAGATCATCTTTATAAATATCAATCAAATCGAAGGTAGTTTATTGTATTGAACAAATTTAACGGTGTTAGTACGAAATAAGATTTTCATGATGAATTGTCTTTATTTGACACATAGGTGACTAAATAATTCTGATTTGAATAAATGTTTTGTAGATATGAAACTGAAATGATGATTAAGAAAATGAAGAGTTCCGGATATGAAATGTGTATAACAAAGTTTCGTTAATAGTAAAGGGTAGATAAGGTCCCATAGACTGGATGCAATTATTGTTCATCTTGAAAAATGCGTTTTTTTGAGAATTTTCTGAAGATTAAAATTAGAGAACCGAATAATTGATATATATATGTATATATATATATATATAGAGAGAGAGAGAGAGAGAGAGAGAGAGAGAGAGAGAGGGACAGAGAGAAATAATAAGACTAAACAAAATGGTTGGAGTGCAGACAACGCGTGCCATGCATAACATACACGAGGCCAGGAGGGAGTATGTCACATATACCACGTGCATAGGCTGCTGAGTCGCATGGAGACTCACATCTTTCTTCCTCTTTATTCATGGTTTCCACTTTCCAAGCTTATTCGTTTGCACCAAAACAATTAGCTATATATTGCAAACATGACGTTCACTTTCTTGACATTTTGGCTTCTTTTGTGTGTTTTTTATGAAAAACGTCTTCAAGTGTACATTCATACATTTATTTGTGAAAAATTTTGGCGTTCATATATTTGTTTGTGAGAATTTTTTTATTGCAATCCATTGTGAAGACTGAATTTCAATGAAATCCACGTATTTCGTTGTTGTTAGAATTTAGTTCATTGACCGATTATCCCTCACACATTCACCTTATTATGTTGCAAGTGTAGACACCATCATGTCAATTAATGATTTTGTTGTATTAGAGGTTGATTCAGTATATTGTATAAAATATATGGTAGAACTAATATTACTCGTTGAAAATTCATTCAAATTAAAAATCATTTATTATCTAATAGTGTGATTCAATAAATAGACGAACACAATGTAGCCAACAAATAATGAATTTTCATAACTATAATCAAATGGCTAAATGATGATTTGACCCATTATTCAAGGAATACCCTTGAACAAAGACCATAAACATTCAATTTTCTAGTGGGCCCAAACAATACATACAATAAGTATTAAGTAGTTAGTAAGTTATTACGGCACTAACATTTCCCTTGGACCTAGTCTCTAACGTAATCTCAATCATGAAAAAAAAAATACAATTTTAGATCATTTTCAAATTAAAGCGCACCTTTGCAAAAATCCATCTAGATAAAAAATGGGTTAACCAACTGATTATTTTCGTGACCATTTCATTATTTCTCGGTAACATTGTGTTTGTCTTTTTTATTTTGTTACATTTGGAGAATTGAAAACTTTTTTATTCTAGTAAATTTTTGCGTGGACCTTAATGAGGACATAAAAAGTGATAGGGGTAGATCATGAGAAATAAGTGATTAGCATTATATTAACTTACTAATTAGTTAGTATTTTAGCGCTAAACAAGTTAGAAGAAGTAAGCCACTCATTTGGCTAACTCAATAATGTAATCTCACAATCTAAGCCGTCCAGTTTTTAGATCAATAATCGAAGTCTAATACATAAAATTTAGAATCTAACCTTTGAAGGGTCATTTTTCTGTCCTAACCTTTGAAGGATCATTTTTCTGTCCTAAGTAATCAACCTTGTCAGTAATTGGATCAAGTATAAAGAAAATTGAGTATAATTAAAATGTGGTCGGCTAATTACATTTTACATCTTTTGGTTTGACGTGATTTGTAAAATGGGTTATGGGGTTCCAATTTTCTCACATTTGCACTTTGAGGTTTGAAATTGTATTAATTTACACATTTTGTCTCTTTGAACGTCTAATAATCCGTTAAATTGATGATGTTAGCCTATAAAAGTTTAAAACTTACCAGTTCATCAATTAAATAAATTATCATAACCTCAATATGTAAGACATATTCTGAAATCACAACAATACATTAGGATCACGAATAAATCAAATCAATATAAAATAGAGATTGACTAATTATATTAAACTTATCTGTAGAATATTAGAGTACGAGTGTGATTCATACGATTTGGTAATAATCCTTGTCTCAGATTGCTATAAAGAAGTCTTAATATGTTTATGAGAGTTAATTCGACTTTGGTTTGGATTGAAACTTTGTGTTGATAAGCTTAAGAACAAAACTCATACTTGTATAAGGAATGCAGTCTTATATTTGATAGGAGCATATTTAGGCGACTTAACTAGCTTATTCTTGTGCATTTATGCTATTATTTCTTAGTTAATGTCGCATTACAACTCAATTTCGTGTGTTTGTAGGACCTATGGGGTAAAGTATCAAGAAAGGGCATTTTGGTGCATTTTGGAGCAATTTTGGACACTATGTGGATAGCTTACATTTGGGCTAACATGGATGGACGAATTTTGACTTCAAGAGGCTAGAAATGTGATAAGAAGAGGAAGGAATAAGCTTGGGACAAAGTGGATAAGGTTTTAGTGTCAAAGTATGCAAAAAGAAGCAATTTGGAGCATTCTAGAGCATTTTTGGGCCAAGATTGGATAGTGCAAGCATGGAGGCATGAGGATGGACGAATTTGAAGGCTTGAAATCAGTTAGGGAGCTGCAAGGGGGCCTAAAAACCTTATTTCTAGAAGGCTTTATCTATTCACACATGGTGCCTAATTTGTGTATTGGAAGAACTAGCCGTCCTACCTTGTCTCCAAGCCGTCCTAGCTTGTCACTAGCCGTCCTACCTTGTCTCCTAGCCGTCCTACCTTGTCACTAGCCGTCCTACCTTGTCTCCTAGCCGTCCTACCTTGTCTCCTACCTTGTCCAAGCTACACACTTGTATCCCTTAAGTGTTTCATGTATATATATCCTTGTAATCCTGAAAGGGGAGGACTCATTCACCCAATTTTCGTCCATTCATCTAGCCATACCACTCTACACATCCATACACTTCTGCCGCACCCTTCCCCACCATAATCAACCATCCTCCATCCCTCTAAACAAGGAAAAACCATCCAAAACCACCAATTCCAGCACCTACACTTTGTGCCGCAGCAAGGAGGAGGAAGAGGAGCCAATTTGTGCATCGAATCCATCTTGGAATTGCTGAGCATTAAGGTGTAATCTTTCTTATGATTTCAATGTTTAAATTCAATACTTTTTGTTATGCAAGCATGAGGAACTAATCCCCCCTTTGGCTAGGGGGGAATTTCGAAACCATGGTTGTATTTGCATGATGATTTGATTACTTTCAGTTGTGATTTCATGAATGTTGAATTCAATTTGCTTATCTATTTTAATTAAAACTTGCTTATGTATATGAATTGAGAGTGCACGCTTGATTTGCATGCATAAACATGATGCTAGGGTATGAGGGAACTTCACCTAATCGTTGGGAACTTATATTCATGAGTAGTTAAGATTGTTGGTCAGAATTATGATAAGTGAATTCTTGGCATAAGTATCATGCGCTTTCATAGTTACGAATGCCTCGTCAACACCTATGATTTCCATAGAATCTAATGATCTTTGATTGTCTTTCTTTTATGCGCTTTCATATAGAAAACTTTTGAGGAATAATTTGATTGCAATGCGCCAATTCCATTCAATTCAATGACCTAAGGGAAATCTGAGAGTTAATTTAAGCGTACCTAATTAACTTGGGGTGTTGAGGTTCATGAATTCATTGATTAAGCAACTGGAAATTGTATTATGTGCAAGTATGCCATGTGTGGAGAAAAACCTCCTAGCCATCTCACCATCCACTTAATTCCATCAAATTCGTCCAAATCTGCCTAGTTTAATTTCTTGTTTTGTTTTGTTTATTTTCGTCCAAAACCAAATCCCCATTTATTCTAGAGTGTCTAATTGGTCCAAATATGTTTTAGATTGTGTTTTTGAGAGTTTTGAGTCAAGTTAGAACCAATTTTCGTCCAAATTTGTGTTTAGGCTCAAAACTGCCCAGATTGTGTTTTTAAGGCAGTTTTAAGTGTCTTTAGCCTATTTTGAGTCTTGTGAACGTGTTTGAGTCTTTTTACGTGAGTTTAAGTGTTTGAAAGGTTAATTTTATTTATTTGAGTCAGTTTAGAGTGTTTAGCAAGCCCTCCTAATCCCCGGTGTAAGAACGATCCCTACTTATTTATATGCTACAATTGTCAAAAGAGGGTTAATTTGTGTGTTAAGTTAATTTTCGCATCAATATTCCTTGTATGATTGTTAAAGGGCAATCCAGGTCTTGTAGTATAAAGCCACAAGCCCCTGATCTCACAAAGCACGCTCTTATTATTCCCCTATAACTTGGAGAGCATTGAGTTTTGCAGAGAGGAAGGTTGTGTGCAGGTTTTCATGGTTTCTTCATCCATGCACATGTCTGCAGGTATGTATTGGTATAATTGCTGCAG